AATCACCAATTCAGATCTAAAGACAAGTTGTAGCCCTTTCTCTTACCTTTCTAGGGCCTATTTATTCCTAGTTTTTTGAATTTTCTATGATTTTCTATGGGTTTTTCAAAAAAACAGGGCTGTAATCATCCTATCAAATGCTCGAAACACCCATTTTCCTCCAAAACATTACCAATACTAGCCCAATAAGTTCCAAATTCATAGTTTCACTTATTTTTACCAAATTCCACAACAAATCAATGATAGACCATGATTAAAACATCAATTTCTACTAATTTCATTGTGTCTCAWATTGACTCCTAAAAGTCAACACTTGTTCTTGAGCTAACATCACAATCTCAAGAAATCTTACAATCCATCCTTGGATTTCACATACTAACTAATAATAACACTTAGTCYTAACATAATTTCATGATTTCATCTGTAAATCATCACATGCAAGGACTCAAACTCTATGCATGTCATCAAATAGGGATAAATATGAGTTTTACCTTTGATTTCTCTATAAATCCTTCAATAATCTTGATAAAACACTTGATTTAGGGATAGATTAACTCCCAAGTGTGTGTAATCGCACCTTATGACACCAGGACTGATTTTGAGAGAAAACAGGGTTAAAAATGGGCTGGTTTGATGATTTGCGACTTAAATCTCAAGTTGGGTTGGGTTGACCCGGCTGGGTACCCGTTTCGACCCCTAAACACTAAAAATTTGCATAACATTTTGTTCGGGACTTCGTTTTCGATGCGGTTTTCGCTTACGCGTCTGAAATGAGATAACCTACAAGCTCCAATAAAAAGATTCCATTGATAGAACCCAATACTTAAAACCATATCCGAAAAGTCGATGTTTTCAACACATAATTAAGCGTATTAGGAAGATGGATGTTACAATGCAATTATATTAAAGAAAAAAATTGGGTGCACTCAAGTAGATATATGAGCGTCGAAGAGAAAATGGCCATATTTTTGACAATAATTGGTCACAATGAACGCTTTAGAATGGTTAAACGGAGATTTCAACACTCTACGCGAACCATTAATAAAAATTTTCATGAAGTACTAAAAGGAATGATGGAATTTGCGAGAGAAGTCGTAGGGCCAACATCCTTTGATGGAACCCCAAACATGTCAGAGCGATTTACACGACTCAAAGAAACATTTTCGGTATGTTTTGTCTTGATATACTAAATATTCTTAACATATATAAATACTTTCTAATGTTTTCTATTTCATAAAAAAAGGGGTTATAGGTGCGCTAGATGGAACTTTGGTACATGAGGTTGGGCTCGTTAGTCAACAAGCTAAGTATAGAGGAAGAGGAAGATGTGAATGCTATCAAAATATTTTAGCAGTTTGTGATTTTAATATGATATTCACATTTGTTTGGGCTGGATGGGAAGACATTGCACATGATTCTCGAGTTCTAACAGAAGTTGCATTTAACCCAACTTCAAGATTTATGTTTCCTCCACCAAGTATGTTCCATTTTTTTTCCTTAACATTTAAACCTTGTTATGATTTATACTTTTAAATTGTATTTTGTGGTTGCGGGTAAATATTATCTTTGTGTGATAACTGGATCCTGATTATCGCCTGAGGTAATTATTATATGATTATTTGTTGAATGATTATGTGATAGCATGATAAGTTATTATGTATAATCATGCTAATGTGTGAAATTATGTGTGCATCAATCATATGAATATATATATATATATATATATATA